TATTTGGAACAGGTAGGCTTACTAAGGAAATCTTGTATTGAAAGGCTCAAAAATTTTAAGGTTATAAAGTCTTTAAAAATAAGTATAATTGTTTAGCTTTAAGCATAGAGAATAATAAATATAATTGTTCAGTCTAGTCTGATTCCTTTGAAATGACCTCAGAACTCAACTTTCTGTTTACTCTGTTATAGCTAGTTGGAAATGCCAGTATTCATTCACTTTGAAACATGTGGATATTGTTCTAAGAAATCAAGCATGCAAGGGCTGATTTTTGTGGATAATGCATTCTGGAATACTTAACAAAAATGATCTATGGTCCCACATATCCTATAGACACTTAACTATTGAGTAAACTATCATGTATGCCAAAAACTTAACAACAAACATTTTTAGGTAACTGGTATCCATTTTGTTATTACCATTATAAAAGAGAAATTAGGAACTGCTATATGGTATTACTTGGTGGGTATTTACAGGAGTTATGTGGTTGGAATAATCATGGAGAGCTTGGATAACAAGAAAATATTTCATGGGAGAAGTGAAATTTCAGGTCTTGAGAAAAGGTTAAAAGTTAGTAAACAGAGAAGAAAAACATTCTAAGTGTGAAAAAAAGGGCACTGGCAGGAGGCAGAAAGGAATGTGGCTTCTCTGAGGTCCAGTTAGGAGACCAGTTTGATTAGAACCAAAAATTCAGCGTAACTGTATGGTTCCTTCAAAGTCAGCTACAAGCTAACGTGTTAAACAGCACTAATTCAATTGAAAGACATCAGGACCTTTGGGATTCTAATCTACTTCCACTAAACAGTTGTACAACTTATGCATTTCATTACTCTGAAAGAACATACAGACATCTGTGTTACCTAACTGATTTCATAGGCTTATTTACTACTGGGATAAAGGGGAAACACTTTTCGTAAATAACTTAAGACAAAAGGTTAGCAGAACTGGGTACTGAAGATGGTGGGGAAAACTCGTATCAATTATTACACTATAACCTTATTAGAAATCCCTAACCTACCATAATGAAATATTAACTTTTAAATTTATTACCTAACTGTATGTATTTAAAGGTGGAGGAGCTGGAGAACTTGGGAAAGAATCTGGGTTCTATCAACTAGATGCTTCAGGGAAGGTTAAGAGCAGGACAAGAACTAAATATGTTGCTTTTTTGGACAGGAAAGGTAGAAATAATTAGGAACATAGTAAATGTATACTTGTCATCCAAACTGGGACACTTGAGAGTAAAGGGGCATGCAATTAATAATTACACTGGACAAGCATAAAATGGGCCATATGATCACTCGTCATTTATGTATATTATGTCAAATTTTCCTAAAGGCAATGAGGAATCAGAAGAATTTTAAATAGGAGTGACAGTATCACATGGGCTTTTAAGAAAGCTAACTTTCACAGCAAGGAAAATGTGAAGTATGTGAAACTGAAGGAGGGAAATTGGTTAGGAGGTAGGAAGTTGTTTTAACAATACTATGATGGCCTAAATTAAAGTCGGGGCAGTAGAGATAGGACAAATCAAAGAACTATAGTGGAGGTAGAATCTTTACATTTATTCAGAACTAAAGTAAAGTAATCCTTTATATCCATATTTTAACAATATTTTCAAAAGAATCCAGAGAAAAAACACAACAGCTAATTGTTATCTTAACAAAAAACAAACAAAAAACTTGAGGCACAAAGAATAGGGACAGTGCTTAAACTAGATTCTCACTTCATACCTAAAAGACTATCACTTAACTCATAACTCCATTTTCTAAATGCAGAATTTAAGCTTCCTCTCTTCTTCCAACCAATTGCCATCTCTACTTAATTCTCAATCAACTTTTGCATCACTTCCTTTTGTTTCCCATCTGGCTTTTATTCTTTGAAGTGTACAGCACACACCAATGCAGAGGTCTTTATCTTTCTCATCCCCACTCCCAAGAATGCCCCTCTTTCAAAACATTAGCACCTATTTCCTTCCCTATTTCCTACTTAAACCACAAGTGCTTTATCAATGAATTAGGTTGCTCTGGCTATTAAGTAATAGTCAAAGGCTACTTACTCGATTTCTGAATTCTCAAGAATCCTGTCACATTCCACACTTCGATCATCTTGTGGTCTTATTCTTCTGTTTGTTATCTTTCCTACATATCTGAATCCCTCACCTCAATGTTTCCATTTTCTCGCTTGATCTTTATATCTACCTATTTTTTTGAGAACACCAGCTCCAAATCCTGGTGGTATAGCTGTCCTACACTGCAGCACAGAAAACCAGGATGCCCACAGCTTCAGGAAACGGGGCTAAAGAGCATTCTAACAGAAGAATGCAATAAAGGCAAAGCAGCTTTTGTTTCCAGACTGTTTACATGCCCTCTAAGGACAAGAAGCTCCTCTTCAGAAAACCACATTAATGTATTTTAAAAAAATAACTCCATTGGCTGACTAGTATAAGAGAACATTTCTCAAGTTGGTGTCCGCTATCATGGAGACTGACTTCCCTCTAGAAATTGAAAATTTTGTATTTTCATATTCATAAAACCTATTTTTAAAAATCAATATAAGCATATCTTGGACCATCTAGATTCATCTAGATGACAGAGTAGTGTCATGAAATTTCTGTGTCTGAATTTGGTTTTCTATTTACAACCATGGTAACACCAACTTAGTTGTGTGCACTAAAAAGAAATTAACATAAGTACCCTTATTACGTAATAAATGCATTTGTACCAGGTGAAACCAAATTATGTCAAGGCACACTATATGAATGAAGAGTTCACAGTAGTTTGAACAGACAAAATAGGTAGGAGAATTGAGTTATTACTCTACCCAAGGTATAGGAATGGAAATCTAAATAAAACAAATACAAGGGCTTTATATAGATTAATCAAATTTGAAAAACATTAGTGTAAGATATAGAAACATCAGGAACCCATAAGGGTAAAGAAAGGGGTAAAGCATACAAATTTACCACAAGTCTTCTGTGGGCTGCATTTTAATTATAATCAAACATTCCTCATATTCCATCCTGGCTAATATTTGAATTGAAAAGATACAATCCATGGAAAAAAGTGCAGAATGCGACACATACTAATATTAGTGGCAGTCTTGATTTAAAAAAAAACAACAACAAAACACGAGGACAGGACTGATAAATAAGATTTCATAACCTCAATTTCAGCATTTTATTGCTTGGAAAACCTATATTAAGATTAATGTGATGAATACTTAAATTAGAGCTTTACTTTCTTCATAAAAATAACTTGCTTATTACAGAAAATGTGGAAATGCAAAAGAAAGAAAAAAATCACCCACATTCTTCTCACCTGAACTATTAACAGTTTTTAATATGTCCCTACATTTACTCAATAGATAGAATTCTCTTTGTTTTTTGTTTTTCTTCAATATAGTTGAAATCATAGTATACTACAAACCACTTACAAGCACTTTAACTTGGAATAACTTTACTGGATTCAACTCAGCCTCTAAATCCAAATAGACCACCTGGGATTCTCTTTAGAGTCAGGTGAGAGACCCTAAATATCTTCTGACCCAGATTCAAAATAAACTTTAAATACAAAGACAAAAGAACAGTTTATCTCAGAATATTTAGTGTTTGTTATAAATTTAATAAGGGGGGAGAGGGCAACATCTTGTTCAGTGAAAGCTACTGCCTATAATTTTGGCACTAAAACACTACTGAGGTCTTTGATTCTAAATAACATATAAATAATTAGTAATAGGAGGTGTGTGTTTTTTAAGTGAAGAGAGGTAATGTGATTATGAGAACTTGAAGGAAATTATTATACAATTTAGAGAGAGAAAAAGACATATACTTTGAATCTGGGAATGTAAATTATTTCAACTATAGCCCTAAATTACTTCATCTCATTATAAAATCTAGAACCAATTAAATGAACGTACCAACATTCAAAACAAATTGTTTTATGTACACTTTTAAATATAGGGCATCTCTACTTTAAATACACATTAAAAAGTTGAACATTTCTAACCCAAAAATATATATAACGAAATACAAGTAAATGGGAACAGGGGGATGCAGAGCATGTAACTAGAAGTTTAAGAGACCTGGCATAAACACATGTGCGTGCACATGAATAAGAAGTTTACTGGCTTTGTGACAGCCACCCATTTAATCTTGGATAACTCATTTAGTATCTTTGGCCAGAGTTTCTGAATCTGTAAAATGAGGAAGCTAGAGATTCATGCTAGCTATAAATCCTATTGAGACATTTTTTCCCCCTCTGCACACTTAATCTCATAGATCAAACTGAAGTGGGAAAAACCCTTTTAATAAAATCTCTCAAAATCATTTCTATTAAGTGTCAAAGCCAAAAATAGTTTTCTGCTAGATTAGTACTTATGCTCTTAGAATTGGTTCCATCTAATGTAGAGGTTGGACTTTCCAATGGCTAGTGACATCCTGTTATTATCAACTGCTTTCAATGTATACTCCTAGCAAGATCAAATTTGCTTTTTATTCCTGCTTCCAAAACATCAATAGGAAAGTAAACAAAAGGAGAAAACACACACTATTATCATCTATAATAAGGTCTATATACTACTAGTTTATAAGAAGAATAAATACATGAAATATGTTTTCATATGCTGTATGATACTCAACTAATCAGCACCTCTAACTATGTAAAGAAATTAACTTCTGAGTTTTAAGTAGTCAAAATTTATATATGAATTTTGCTCCTAAAAAAATTACATATTCTAATGATACAGCTACACTGTTCTTTACCCTACAAATAAAAACGCAGAATGGAAACAATTGACTGGAAATCAATGGAGACAAAACTATATGAAGTTTGTGAAACACCAAAGTACAACTACTCAACTAGATTTACATGCAGAACTGAGTACTTTGTACTCGGGCAGCTATTTAGTCTCAAAATAGTTTAGTTTAAGAACAATGAAAAACCCAAGTTTTAGTTAACTATTGGTTAATGTGCTTTAATTAAAAACTCTATTTGACTCACCTTAGTCCAAGGATGTGCCTTAATTTGAGGAAATTTGAATTCTGTGTAGTTTGGGTTCATTTCTCTAATTTGCTCCCTTGTTGGTGTCCCCAGGACCTAGACAGAGAAAATAAGTGATTACCATATTTTTCTATACACTTACAAATATAGTATTTATGTTTCAATGTATTGGTTGCATTGGAAAAGGAATTCCAAAGTTATAAAACACATAACTCATTAAATAGAGCAGACTTTGTGAAAGATGTTTAATTTTTAACGAACTACAGACTCATGCTATTCTACCCTACACAGACTTTTACAATAATAAAATAACAATAATAATAATGTTATATCAGGGTTGTAAAAAAAAAATCACTAAAAAATATTCAAGTCATAATCAGGCATCTTTAACTAAAAAACAACCTATTGCAATGATGGCATCTAAAATGAGAACAGCTTTTACTCACTTAAAAAAGCATAGTCCAAGGTTTTTTATCAATAATAAGGAGAACCACACTTAAACATGGTCATCAATAATTCCATGCAATCACTGAATATTTAGTGACATGTACAAGGAACTACGTATGATATATGGAGGATACAAAAAACCAAAACATTTCCTGAATGAAGAAATTATTATGTATTTGTGTGTGGAAAAAGTATAACTACAACACAAGATAAAAATATAGTGAGCATTTCACTGCCTCCAGAGCTGCATTGGGGACCAAACAAGGGAAATACATGGACCTGGCTGGCAAGGGAAGACACACTAAATACTAAAAATGAGCACTCTCAAGAAAAATGACATCTATAACTCATCTTTATAATTCTAGGGCCTAGTATAAAACAAGTTTGTTGAAGTAAAATATTAAACCACTTACAATTCAAGGATAGCTGCACAGTGAAATGTGATGATACATACTTGATTTGTGGTGATAACCCGTGAATAATCACAGCAAAGTAAGAAGTTTAGTATTTTGTTGTTGTTGTTGCTTCTAATTCTCTATCTCTAGACTTCTTTAAAACTTTTAGGCCTTTATCAAAATCTTAAAAGTGTTGTTCTTCAAAAGACACTCTTAAGAAGTCAAAAGCCAAGCTACAGATTGAGAGAAGTCTGTAAAACATATATTCTGCAAGGATTTGTGTCTAGAATACACAAAGGATTCTTATTAAAAAACAAGATGATCCAAGATGGCGGCGGGGTAAGGGGACGTATGCTCACCTCCTCCAGAATCAAACTGAATTACAACTAACCTATAATAAAATAAACGATAAAATTATGGAGCAATCATCTTGAATAACTGACTGGAGACTAGTTGAAAAGAAGTCTTATAACCAAGGATTAACAGAAGAAGCCACATTGAGACTGGCACGAAGAGAGGAGACACGAAAAGGGCTGGCCCTGCCTCCATGGGAGGCAACTGAGATTTTGGAGGGATAGCTCAGCTGTGGGGGATTCCCCGAGAAGCGTGAGGTCTAAACCTCAAGCTGAGCTCCCCAGCTCAGAGAACCAGAGCCAGAAAGTGGTGCCTACATAACATCTGGCTGTGAAACTCAGCCTGGATTCTGTCTACCAAGGAGAAGCGGGAGTCTGCTAGAGACACAGGCACCTTCTTAAGGGATCAACACACAAAATCTCATTCACAGCCACTCATCCTGGGCTCTGGTGGAGCAGACTAGAGTCTCATGAGGAGAGACTGGGGTTGGTTAATCTGAGGAGAGAGCTGAAGGGACAACTGCCAAGATCCCTGAGCTGAGTTCTCCTTCCACACTGCAGATACCATCTTTTTTGGGTAGAGTACTCCCCTTCATACTGCATCAGCCTGGGGAAATGTAATAGTCCTACCCTCTGGACTCCCTGTCACCCCACCCTGAAAAGCTTGCATCCTGCTGAGGAGTCAGCTACTTGGGCGTTTGTAGAGGTCTGGGCAGACTTGGGGGTGTCAGTGACTGAGTTGTGTGGCTCTGGGGCGCGGGCCATTCCTTCACTTTCCAGTGAACCTGACTGGTGTCTCCTGCTCATGGGAGATTCACTAGCCCCACTCTCCGGGTTCCTAGAGGCCCCACCTTCTTAACTCCTAGTGGCTCTACTATGCCAAGGGCGAGGCAGAATCTAGGACAGACTGATTTGTATGGCTCTGGGGTGGGGGCCATTCTCCCCACCTTCTCCTAAGCCTGAGGAGCACCACTGCATCCTGGGAGATCCACTAGCCTCACGTTCCCAATTCCTGGTGTCCTTGCCCCCTCTTGCTGAGATTGGGCTATGGGCAGATTCTGGGATAGACTGAGTGGTGTGGCTCTAGGATGAGGGACATTCTTCCTCTCACATGTACGACCAGAGCAGAGGCCTCTCATCACGTGGCCAAATCTTGGTGTGTTTGGGGCTGGATGTAACTCTGCTGGACTCACTGTGACGACTGCTTGGACCCTGCCCCACCACAAAGGTGTACGAGCACCCAAAAGGTGGCAGGCAGACTTGGTATACCCTGGGACATTTGCTGAGTAGCCTCAGACTCAGTAATGGCACCCAGACTGAACCTGTATTGATCTGCTAAACACCACTCACCTCTACCTGGTAACTCCTGAGAAACTACCTCATGCAATTCAAGTATTGCCAGAGGCTCTTTCAGTGACTGACCCTAATAGGCAGTGGCAAATGGAAGCAGGTGAAGGTGGATCTTAGGGTGCCTTAAGACTTTTGCTGACCTGCCCATGGGCCTGGTGCTGGTAAAACCAAGGCTTGGTGCGCAGCTTTGGTCCTTCTCCTGCACACCTAAGCCAAACAGAAGCAACCGCAAACTAGATCAATTTGTAGCTCTAAACTGGTAGCCCAAGGTTTGTCACAGGCAGTGTTTGACATTGGCCTGCACCAGAGTCCCTCCCAAGAGGCCCCAGAACCAATACATCCAGTGACCAGTTTCAGAAAACATCAGAGTGGGATCCAATTAGCTTCACAAGGGGTATATATGAAGGGAGGTCTTAGAAGGCACAAGATCCTGATGAGGGGAGTTCTGCTTTGTGTGATAAGCACCTGTAAAGCAGCTCATAAACTATGATCACAGTCAACCAGCCTAAGGGTCAATACCACGCACGAAAAGGCCAATAGCAATTAAGACTCAATTACAACAGGGTAGCCAACATAACTCTCACAAGGATCAGTCCTAGAGCACCCAGCTCAGGTGATCAAGGAGTTTATGCCACTGGGTCCCAGAGGACACCTACTATATAAGGCCACCGTACCAAGACTGGGAGTCATAGCAGATATACCAAATACATAGAAACAAACACAAAAATGCAGCCAAAATGGGGAAACAAAAAACATGCCCAATATGAAAGAACAGGAGAAATCTCCAGAAAAAGAGTTAAATGAAATGAAGGTAAGCAATTTATCAGATAGGGTTCAGAAAAATGGGTATAAGGATGCTCAAGAAACTTAGTGAGAACGACAAGAAACTCAGTGAAAACTACAATAGCATAGAAACCATAAAAAAGAACCAGTCAAAAGTGAAGAAAAAAAATCTGAAATGAAAAATACACTGAAAGAAATAAACAGTAGATTGGATGAAGCAGAGGATCAAATAAGTGATTTGGAAGACAAGGTAGCAGAGAACACCCAATCAGAGAAGCACAAAGAAAAAAAAGAATTTAAAAAAAAAAGAGGATAGTTTAAGGAAACTTTGGGACAACATGAACAGTAACGACATCCACATCATAGGGGTACAATAAGGAGAAGAGCAAGAGCAAAGGATTGAGAACCTATTTGAAGAAATAATGACCAAAAACTTCCCTAACCTAGTGAAGGAAAAAGACACACAGGCCTAGGAAGTGCAGAGTTCCAAACCAGATGAGTCCAAAGGGACCCACACCAAGACACATCATAATTAAAATGGCAAAGGTTAAAGAGAAAGAGAGAATCTTGAAAGCAGTAAGAGAAAACCAGCTACCTACAAGAAATTCCCATAAGACTGACAGATGATATCTCAACAGAAACATTTCAGGACAGAAGGGATTGGCATAAATTAAAGTGATGAAAAACAAGGACATACAATCAAGGCTACTTTATCCAGCAAGGCTATCATTCAAAATGGGGAGAAATAGGGAGCTTCCCAGACAAGAAAAAAACTAAAAAAATTTGTTACCACCAAACCAGTATGACAAGAAATGGTAAAGGGTCTTCTCAAAGACAAAAAAAACAAAACTAAACAACAACAGAGGAACAGTTATAAAGAATAAAATGGCAATAAATACCTACCTACCAATAATCACTTTGGATAAAAAAACAAGACACACCCCAGCCAGTGTGGCTCAGTGGTTAGAGCGTCAGCCCAAGGACTAAAGGGTCCCCGGGTTCTATTCTGGCCAAGGGCACATACCTTGGTTGCAGGCTCGATCCCTGGCCCTATTCAGGGCACATTCGGGAAGCAATCAATTGATCTGTCTCTCTCACATGGATCTCTGTCTGTCTCTCCCTCTCCCTTCCACTCTCTCTGAAAAAGCAATGAAAAAAACATACCCTCAGGTGAGGATAAAAAAAGAAAAGAAAAAGAAAACAAGACCCATACATACACTGTCTATAAGAGACCCATCTCAGAACAAAAGAAACATAGACTAAAAGTAAAGCAATAGAAAACGGTATTTCATGCAAATGCAAAAAAAGAGAAAAAGAAAAAAAAGCTATACTTATACCTGACAAAATAGCTCTAAAACAAAGTAAGAGACAAAGGAGGACACTACATAATGATAAAAAGAGCAATCCAACAAGAGGATATAACCCTTGTAACCATTTATGTGCCCAACATAGGAACACCTAAATATGTAATGCAAATCTTGATAGACATAAAGGGAAAAGTTGACAGTAATACAGTTATAGTAGGGGATTTAACATCCCATTGCAATCAATGGATAGATCTTTCAGACAGAAAATCAACAAAGGAACAGTGGCCTTAAATGACATACTATATCAGATGAATTTAATATCTTTAGAGCATTTTACCCCAATGCAGCAAAATATACATCCTTTTCAAGTACACCTGGAACATTTTCTAGGATAGACCACATGTTAGGACACAAAAGAAATCTCAATAAATTTAAGAAGACTGAAATCATATCAAGCATCT